CAGCTCAGAGCAGTTGAAACCTGCCGGCAGGACGGCCACTCAGGACGCCAACTTCAATGCCAGCCATGTGCTGAATGCCGTGGACCGAGGTGCCCGTGCCCTCAACCACAGTCTGCAGAAACTGGAACAGCAGCTGCATGCCCTCAAGACCTCTAATTTCCTTGGTGAGCCGCATCACAGAACTAGGCTGGGATGGTGGGGCTATGGCTGGAGGGCTGACAGCGACCCTGCCACACCCAGGTGCCTATGACAGCATTCGCCAGTCCTATGGGGAGTCACGGGAGGCTGAGCACCAGGCAGACGCCGCCACCCGCGTTGTGCCTAGCCCTGTCAGCACCTCGGCAGCCACCCGTCACCACACTGAGCAGCTCCTGGCCAGCCAGCGGGATGAATTCAATCGCCACAACGCAGCCAGTCGACGGGCACTGATGGACCTGGCAGCGAGGGCACAGGCACTGAGCCTGCACCCACTCAATGAGAAGGTGGGACACAGGGAGAGGACCAGAGGAACAGCGCCCAGAGCTGCCCTGATCCTATGCTGCCTTGCAGGTCTGCGGTGTGGTGGGCGATGTGCCCTGCGCTGAGAGCCCTTGTGGGGGTGCTGGATGCCGGGATGAGGATGGGGGACGACGCTGTGGGGGTCTGAGCTGCGGTGGAGCCGTGTCCAAGGCTGACAGTGCGCTGGATCGGGCACGCCATGCCCAGGAGGAACTGCGGCAGGCTGCCAGAGACATGGTCCAGCTGTCCCACAAGGTGTGAGGCACATGGGTGCTGGTGGGAGCAGGTGGCACAGCCATGCCCCCCAGCCCCTGGGGCTGGCACTGAGGGTCTCTGCCCATGTTCAGGTGGCTGAGGCCAAGGGGAAGGCGGATGAGGCCCGAATACGAGCGCAGGCAGCCCTGGACAAGGCGAACCAGACCAGGGCCCGTGTGGAGAGCTCCAACAAGGAGCTGCGAGAGCTAATCAGCCAAGTCAAGGCCTTCCTGAGCCGTGAGTGCCAGCATGCTGGGAGGGCTGGCTGCCCCTGCCCAGTGCTGTGTGGCTCTGCACCTGCACCACACTGCAGTGACCCTGCACCATGCCGCACTGCATGGTCCGCACACTGCATTGCATGGTCCCTGCCCTGCCCCAACCATCCTGTGCCCTTCCACCCACCTCCTGCCCCTCTGCCCTGCCTCATGCTCCCCTCAGC